GGTAGCAAACTGAAAGCTTGGCAGCACTTTGTAATGCATGGTTATGAAGATGCTTAGTGGCGCTTCCTAAAGATCTCTCCATTTTGGGGCCATACAGTCCGGTACATGTTTCTGTTCAGATGCTTTCTGAGTTAGAAATCAGTTAGCTGATGTGAGCTGCCCACTGCTGGACACAGCCATAGTTGGCAGGCAACTTGGGGCCTGTATATCTAAATACGTATATGGCACTCATGTCTGAGAACTTTATATTACCAGAACTCAGCCTGGGAAAATCGCTGTTTCTGACCATCACTTCTAGTAGATTGTACTGCCAAAGCGTTTCTGTGGTAAAAGTAGAAATTAGTACAGCATCAGCGATACGTGGACCGACTCTGACTCCAGCCCAATTTCATATTTTTGCAACTCCATTCACTTAATTTTGATTGATTCACACTGCTGTCCAGTCAGACTATTCCTGTTTTTCCAAAGGTATAAAGGACAGTGAGGTGAAAGATAGTATGAATGGACTTTTACAGAACTGCTGAAGCATTAACAGTACGGGAAGAAAAGTAGTAGTGCAAGCTACAGCATCATCTTAGTGTGTCACGGTCCTGCCTGGGTTAGTTACTACATGTGTCATTATCATGGAGCGTTCATCATACACAGCTGCAGACCTGTGAGGAAAGGCTGAGAGAGTTGGGAGGTCTTCAGCCTGGAGGAGGCTCCGGGGAGACCTTACTGCAGCTTTTCAGTACCTGAAGGGGCCTGCGAGAAAGCTGGAGAGGGACTTTTTACAGGGGCATGTAGCGACAGGACAAGGAGTAACGGCTTCAGACTGAAAGAGGGTAGAGCGTCCCTGCCTGTGGCAGGGGGGTTGGAATGAGACGATCTGTAAGGCCCCTTCCAACCCAAACCGTTCCATGATTCTATGACCTATGGGCTGAGACAACAAAACAGCAAATCATGGTTTGTCCAGGGGGACCATGTATGGAGATGCTCACCTAGGCCATTAAACACAAGCTGGCATGAGTTAGTTGCTGAAGTCTGGATCCAGGCTAGTGTCCTGCAGAAAATGGGTTGGCTTGTCCAGTCCTTTTGCTAGCCAGTGTTTCTCTTGCGCTTCCCACACTCCTTCCAGTCCGCTGCCCTCCCAAATAACTTGACTGTATTTCTCTTGCTTTTTCAAGAAATGGTATTTGGTCTGTGATCTTACTGTTTTTCTAAAGGACTCTGGGTCTTTTTCTCCTTCCATTTAATCTTCTCTAGGATTGTTTACGAGCCTGCCAAGAACAGATCGAATCCCTCCTTGAATCCAGTCTACGTCAGGCACAGCAGCACAACGTATCTTCAGAAACAAAGACTGTAGAGGACGAAGCAGACCTTTCCTGCACACCTACTGATGTGCGAGATGTGAACATTTAAGAGGACTTCTTCTAATGGGTTTGCTTGGCGAGAGCAGCAGACAAAGAAAGGGCATCTGAGAAGGAATCAGCATCAGGATCTCCCCCCCAGAAACCCTTTTCTCCAGGACATTTTTATACCAGAAGGGAAAACCAGTCTTGTTATATTTTTTCTTGCTCTGTCTCCCTTCCATCTGTGACTTCAAACAAACAAATAAACAAAAAATACCCCAAAAACTGTCTTAAAAAAAGAAAAAAATAGTATTTGCATTACCCCCAGGGGTTTGTGCTACAAAAATAGAGGATTTTATACAATAATAATCAACTAGTTTTTATATTAAAGTGTTCTTGTCTGTATGTTGTAAAAATAGGCATTAACACACAAAATGTCTCCAGGGGAGGTATTAGATTTGATTTCTTACATATAAAACCAACCAACCATTTTTAAAGTAGAAGAGGGTTTTTTTTTTTAGATAGTAAATGAAATATTCTTTTTTTTTTCTTTAAAAAGCATAGCTTTAACGCAGTTCTAGGCTTTTCTGTATCTTGCTTGCTTGTGCATTTAGTCACTTTATAATTCATCTGTAAATGTTTATTTTATTTCCTTAGGTTTTTTTTTATCCTCTTCACCTTATAAATGGTTAACGTAACCCATAAGTTAGTGTATGTTAGTATGCAGCATTATTATATGTTAATCTTTTTTGTGCCTGTGGATTGCCTGTGCATAAGGCATTTGTAGGGTTCCAGCTTAGCATTGTTGGGAAAGGCCAATGTACTACTCATACGATACTCTATTATAAAGAGAAACCGAAATAGTGACATAATATATTATATTTTTGTAATCTTCATATTTTTGTAGTTACCTGTGTAAAATGCTGGTCTGACCCCACAGATATTCAGCCTAATTATGGTCAGGTTCAATCCACAGTTTAGTCTTTTTTTTTTTTGTTTGTTTGTAATATTCTAAAACCATTCCATTCAAAGCACTTTCAGTCCATTAGATATAGGAAATACATTCTTTTATTGTGTGGGAATTTTTTTTTTAATGGAATGGTTTGGAAAATATATAAGTGCTTGTTCGCAAACTTGGAATTGCAAAGCAAGTGCATTTAACTATGGTGTTAGAGGAGAGGTGACTTTTTTTTTTCCGAAGGTTGTGTTCCAGTGAGAGAAAACACATTCACAAATTGCCAGGATATCTTCCTATCCTTTTCTATAGAAAAGTTGAAGTTTAGAAATCCTTTGGTGCCAACTCATCTTTATAAATTAGGGGCCTTAAAGGTTCACGTATAGGACACATAGTTTAAGGATTGTCGCTAGATGTTTTACAACTGAAGGTTTTTAAACACTAAAATATATAATTTATAGTTAAGGCTAAAAAGAATATTTATTGCAGAGGATGTTCGTAAGGCCAGTATGATTTGTAAAATAATGCAATCGCCCCTTTTTAAAAAAGATCTTTCTACCCTTGATGTTGCAGTTTTAACACAGCTGATTAAAGAAAAAAGGACACGCTTCAAAGAACAAACCCAAAACAAAGCAGTCTGTTTGGCCCCTTCCTATACATTTTTCAAAAGCAGTCTAACCATGAGAACGCCATAGTTAATAGATATGAAAATTGGAGTACTTGAAAGAAGTTCTTATTCCAGTATATGCCCCATTTTCTTATTTAGCTACAAATAGAAAATTTGCACATCTTGGCTATGTATCTTTTTATTATTATTTTAGAAAGTAGCTGAAGGGACGTGGACATAGCTGTTGAAGTTGATGCTCGAGGAGAATGTGATGGTGAAATGTATGTGAGAAAACTGCCGCTAAGGTGTTGATTGTAAAAAAACAACCGAAAAAAAACCAACAAAAAAAAAGAAAAAAAAATTTAAAATTAAAAAAAAGAGAAAAAGATAAAAGAAAAGGAGTGGATGCTCCATTTTTATTGAGCTGCTATGGATAAATTCCCAGCATGGTTTGAAAAAAAAATTAACATTGCTTTTCTGTATCTTTGTCATTGTGTTTTGCTGCTATTTTGTGGATCAGTTTTTTTTTTTTGTTATACAATGTCATATACTGCCATGTTATAGGTTTTAATTTTCTCATAGAAAATTATATTATTGACATCATTTTTTTGTAGATTTTTTATGTGATCAATTTTTACTTAATGTGATTACTGCTCTATTCCAAAAAGGTTCCTGTTTCACAATACCTCATACTTCAGTTAACCGTGTCTAGACCAGGTTTTAATGTTCGTACACAGTGCCTCATAGTTCTACTGCAAATGGAAATGCATCGAACGTTATTCTGAATGGGTCTCGCGATTTGCAACTAGGTTGCATTAATTTAAAAAACAGCAGACATTTCAGAAGATCGAGTAATGTCAGTTTTTTGTTGTTATGCATTTTATAAAGCTGGATTCTTTGTCTGATCTGGGGTTTATTATCATAGTAGTTTTAAGCTGTGTTATTAGCCACATTGATATATGAAAGGTGCATTATAATATAACTCTTGTATGCCACCTGATGTGGTTTCCCATCAGTTGGGACACATCATTTGGTATGATAGGTTATCTTCTGGAACTCTAAGTATTTTGTGTGTTTAATCTGTTATGATATACTAGGTTTTTATTTTGGTTTTTTTTGTTTTGGTTTTTTTTTAATTATAGCATAATGCTAATTTAAAAAGCCTGTAAATCTCATAAATAAGCCAGCTAACAGAGTTGTATGCTGAAGAATAATCTAGCTGTTGCCTGTATGCTGCTAAACCAAAACAGAATTAGAACTCATTTCGAGGCAAATGCAGTTGAGATCCCACATAGTGCATAAATAAAGCATTGCAATGCTACTAGCAGTCGCAGGACCCAGGAGGACTGGATACATTCTGTCCAAATTTCAGGAACATTTCTTACTGCTTACCTCATAAAACACTTCTGTTCGTGGCATCTCTGTGTCTCTGAACCAAACATGATTATTGAGTTAGTGCTTGTTGGTTATATTATGTGTTACACTGAGTGGCAGTGTGTACTGCAAATTTCTTTAAAATATTGTACGTACTAAAAGGCCAAATCCAGATTAAGTGGGTTCATGTGCCAACAGAGATGCTTTATTTGTCACATTATTATAACAATCTGTAGTAAGCAAGCAATTCAGATTTGTACATTTTTATATTGTACTTATTGGCATCACTGGTCTGAAATGCACATTTTCACCAACAGACCTGTAACAGACAAGTTTCCAGCAAAAAAAACTAAAGTCTAGAAATAAAATTGGTAAAACCCAATGTCTGCTTGTTGTCTTTTCTTTTTTTTTTCTTTTTTTTTTTGTCTTCCTAATTGCATTTATGAATGCTGAATGGTAGTAAACCACATGACAGTTTCTGGTTTTGACTCTGTGCTTGCTGAAAACCTTCTGTCGTTATTTTAGGAAACCGTAGGTAGGCGTTTTTAGCAGTGGGAAGGTGCGTGCCTGTCACAGCAATGCGTATTTTTAAAAAAGCAAAAAAATATTTTTGCTGAAGAGTTTTAAACATTAAGGTAATTACAGAGTTAAACACCATTTGGTGGTTCTTTTCAAGAAAAGGTAAAGTAGCTGTTGGATGGTACGGAATGCTTGTTTGTATTTATCAACGTAAGGCTTTTTGTCCTAGAATAGCTTGACAGAAGATAGCTTGTTTTAAAAGCGGTAAGGTTAACCTGCCTTCTTTTCCTTCCCCTCGTACGCAGCTTTTGCATCTTACTGTTATATCACTAAGTTAATAAGCAATAAATGTAAAAGCCTACTAAAAATACGTAAGAAAGAACTGGACCTCAAAGGACAGAAATTATATATGGTTATAAAGTGAGAAAAAATAACCTGTGTCCCAGTTCACATTCCAAAAATATCTCTGAAAACTGGGGATGCATACTATCAAACAGTAGAAGAGGTGAATGTGGCAGAAACAGCTTATTCTTAGTGGAGAACAGTCAAGCTTCTCACCTACGTATTTGACTATTTATGCTATGAAAATATTTCTGCCTTAAAAAACCCAAATCAATCTACGTAAAATGTCAAGTGTTTGTCTTTCCTGTCACAAATTAGAAATCTAGTATCTGCCTCCCGAGTTTCTCATTGACTAAACTTCACGTTACAACGATTCTAGGCAGTAAACTACAGGAACAGAAATGAAAAATGAAACTCCCAAGTTAACACCTAACATGTTAATTATAGTCTAGAGCAAAGTAAGGTTGTCTTAGTGCAGTTACCAATGGATGGGAAACCATCTGCATCAGAAGAATCCCAGTGGAGCCTGTCATGTTTCCCAGTCATTTCAGACAGAAGCCTGAACCACATGGCCTGCTGTAAAATCACAGATCAGGTAGGTAAAGTAGTATCAGCACATCGTGCGATCTGTAATTTTTTCCATTTGAAATGGGGAGCTCCTCGATATGGTCAAGTTACACTGGCAGGCCATGGAGGAAGATTTGTACAGCACTGAAAGAAGACCTAAACTAGATTCACAGTGACTTTAAATACAGATCAAGCCAAAGCTTAAATTTGACTCAGTCAAAAAAGACTCATTTTTTTTCCACACAGATACTTTATCAGTTTTCTGCAAAATTTCAGTGTATTTTAAAGAAAAAAACAGGAAAAAAACCTGACTCACTTTTGTGTGACTGATGGCTAACCTCTCTGATTTTAAATGTTTGAAACTTGAGACATACGTAGAAAATCTTGATTTGGGACAAAAGCCTTTTTGCTGGTAAAAAACCAAAATGATGCAGTGAGAAATTTGTTGAACATGTTAATTTTTTGTCATGTCATTTTGTTGAACATGTTAAGTGGGTTTTGCCTTTCCTCTCTGTTTTATAAACTCTATTAAACTGACTGAAGTGTTCTGTGACTTAAGTAGGTTTAAGCCCACACAGTCAGCTGTGTTATTTACATTTTCCTTCTCTCAAACATCATCTCTAAATGCAGACTACTAAATTTGAATGTTGAGTGAACTATGCCAGTATTACTCACATTGCAAAGGGCAGAAAGACAAGAATGTAGCAAGAAAAACAATTTACTATAGGCTGTAAAAATTACCCATGTTCAGCTAGGCTATGCTGTAGCTTAGTAAAGGGAGAAAGACTGTATTTTTTCCATCAGATTGAGATGTGTACAAAGAAAAACCTCCAAAAGACCTCCAGAAAACCTCCTCAATCCCATTGCTGAATGCAGACTGATTGGCAAGCTTGAACCTTTTATGAACACGTACATTCACATACTCTTTAATAAAGAATAAACAAGATCTCTTAAAAACAAAAACTCGGAACCCACTTACATTCAAGTGTATCTGGCATTTTAAGTGATTGAAAACTCCAGAAGATAGAGGAGAAAGTGAAGCTCGGAGTTATTATTTCAAAGGAGTCATAGGAATGACCAGACATGTGGGCTAGATACTCTGATAAAGATTCCTGGCAATGTCATTGAAGCGCTACAATGGGACAAAGGCAGTAAAGCTATAAACGATGGCATTTTAATGAAT